GCGCGTGGTTTAGTTCGAGGAATAACAAGGCCACAGCCAAACAATTGTCGAAGCAGTATCTCCTCCCCAGGTTAGCAGTAAAAGGGGTTCACGGAAAGTTAGGAATGTGGAGTGGGAAATCATTTAGCTTTCGCTGCTAGGTGTTACTAAATTATAGCGCTAGCTCCGGGTCTCTATCAAAACACCATATATCTAGAGGGTTTTCGCGCAGCGCCATAAATCACGTTTACTGCGTGTATGAGTTAAGCGAGTGCATGAACTTTGCAGTGCAGTCCAGGAAAATATAATGACATGTGTGCGTGGTTTTGACTGTGAGAAATGTGGACAGGAAGCTCCAGTCCGCTCTGCTGCCGTGTCTTAAATACGCTTCCAGAAACTGTTGTTGTGGCTTCCTGGAAATAGCCATTTATTAAGGCAAAGTGGCTTTGTTGGGTCTTGCTGCTACTGCCAAGGAAGGGGCAACCACCAGTGGCCTCCAGGCCCTGGTTGGCGGCGGGGCAAAGGGAAGGATTATTTGCAAAGCAGCATCAGCAACAGAGCCCCTAGCAGGGCTTTTCCATGGTGTAGGGTAGTGGAGAGCAGTTCTGCAGGATATAAATTGAAAATTGCCCAGCTGTTCCCTGAGACAGGTGTCGGATCTGTCTTTTATATAATGGAGCAGAATGGACATTCCAGTTGCTTGTCTTCCTAAACGCGGCAAATAAATCTGCACACTTGTCTGCGTGTAGAGGAGTAGAAATATTTAAAACAAATGAGGTGATCACAGCATTTCCTTGTTAATGTTTGACTGGGCTTAGATGATCTTGAGCAGAAAGCCTGGCCTCTTGCTGCATCTGTTGGTTTCTCTCTGTGTGTATTTATATATATTTGGCGATGGGGAAACGTCGAGCAGGAAAAAAAAAGCCGGTGGAAAATGTAGGGTCCGGCTTGTTTAAATTATATTTTAAGCCTGATTGCAGCCGGGCCCTTGGAACTCCAGGCATGATCCCTTCTAGCAACTAAAATGATTTGAATGTTACGGGGCAAAGTTATATTTAGTTTGTATTTGGAGAAAGAATAACAAGCGGGTGCGGGGGGAGGCAGCTGCATTCCCTTCCCTTCTTCCCGGGCCCCGTTGGACACGGCTGTCCCACCCCACCCGGGGCCGGAATATTAAGAAATGACTCAAATTATTGAGCTGAGGATGAGAGGAGCTGGAGGAGACCACCGGTCCTTGCTGCTTTGGGGACCAGAGGGGGCTTCATTTATTGTGACCATCACTTGTGGCCTCCAGGCTGTGGTCCCCAACCCTGGCTGGATTGCAGGGGGAGCTGGCAACTGGGCTTTTGGAGACTGCAGAAATGGGAGCAAAAAGCAACAATTTTCTAGCTCCAGCTAGAAAAATGTGTGAAAATCTTTGTTGACAATTTTGGTGGAATATCTCCCTGGATCTCAGTCACTTCTCCTGCATCCTGATGCCAGCTCTGAAGGGCTACTCGCTGTCCCCAGCACCATCTCTGCTCGCAGGTTCTCCATGCAAAGAAATGAAGGGGTGTATGGAAGAGGGATCCTTCCTCAGGGTTTTTCACCCTGGTCCCCAAGGCACCCATCTCTCCTGCTCTTGTGATAGGACACGATTTGCAACCTTGGACCTCAGGGCAGTTTTCAGGGTCCCTCCAATAGTAACGGTAGCAGGAGCAAGCCAGGAAGATGTTACTTATCGACAGTAAAAACTCCATGCTGGTCACTGCGGGGGCAGCGAACGGTGGGATGGCAGCAGCACCCAGCGCTCGGCCCGCTGGCACCTCACCCGCAGCTGTAGGTGAAGCAGCAGGTGCTTTCCTGGGAGTTTGTCACCCGGAGCAGCTGGAGAAATGGATCCTGCGGCCGGGCGGCGGGCTGGGCTCCCGCGCCGGCGTGCGCAGCTGTGCCCCGGCCGGAGCCTCGCGAGGAGAGGAAGAGTGCGGAGGAGAGAGGATCCCGTGCCATCCTGCACGGGGCAAAAGACTAAGGAAGGAAAGGGGGAGATCCACGATGGCATCAGCATTTGATTCTGCCATACGCATCCCCAGCAGGTCCAGCTCCTCAGCTTGCCAGGGTCTCGGAAGCCTCTGGTGTATGGAGTGGACTGATTCCAGGGAGCAAGCCCTGCTTATGCAGGCAGTCATCAATATAAAGGTGATAGGCAGTAAAATGGGAATATTTGGGGAATATTTAGAGCTCCCAGTGAAGAGAAACAAGGTTTAAGTTGCTGTGCTCTGCGCCACGCTGAGAGATGCGTGCAGCTCTATCCAACAACATATACAGCAGGGAGAGGAAAACAGCAGGGAAATTTTTATTCTTCATCCTGAGTAAGGCGCTAAAGTCCCTGGAACGGGACTAGTGGCAGGGCAGGGACTTGAAGAACCCCGCTGGCATTTGTCTTTTCGTGCAGAAAGGCTCGGGGAAACGCTCCCTTTTCTACATGCCAAAAAGGTCTGCGCGTAGATCCTGTGACAGAGAGCGGTCCAACAATTCCTCAGAATGAAAGGTCAATCAAAGGAAAATGGCATTTAGGAGGACCAAGCTGATTGCTGACCCAACCATGTGACACATCCAGAGGCAACTCCAGTGCCATCGGGAGAGCCGCCTGCGCTGCCTGTCCCGGCGAGGCACATGACGTGACTGGGAAACTATCTGACTCCTCCAGGTCTAAAAATTTGTCAGGAGTCAACCTGAATGTCGGAAGGAAAAGGGGTCTGAAGGAGCTGCAGCAGGGTTTCCAGCTTGGGAGGAGAGAGCTTGCCCTCCACTGTCCCTGCTCACCCTGCACCAGGCATTTTTTTCCCCAGCACTAATTATAGGTCTGTTTTTGCCATCTGAATATCTACTGAAGATTAGCCTGGCTCTCAGATAGATTGCAATGAAACTAATCTTAAAGTTTGGCTTGGTTAGGTAAGGCTGCAAATCAGAAGGCACCTCTACAAGGGCTGACCTAGCATTTCAGCAAGACTCTGCATTTGTCTGAGTAAGGCACTGTGCCAAGTAAGTAAAAGTAGCAGAATCTGGGGCTGGATCTTCACTTGGTGTCAGTGAATTCTGCTTGATCAAAGCCTACGCACACAACCCCTTTGGATGAGTGCATCTTCTCTTTAAAAAAAGTCAAGAATGGGGCTTGCATCAGATCAATGTTCAGAGCATCTTGGGATCATTGGTGAAATATTTCCATCCACAGAGCTGGCTAGAGATCTCCCAAGTTGGAGAACATCAGGAGTGTGGACTGAGGGACACAGATAGTCCTGCCTAGGCAGATATTCCTCATGGTGTTTTGCCAGGTCCCTTGGGACATGGGAAGGCACTGTTGCCTCTGAGACTACCTCTCTTGACAGTGTCTGCAGAAGATGTACCAGGATGACTTGTCTTTGTCTAGGACTGACTTTTTCAGAATAAAAAACCCCTACTTTGGGACATCAGCAGTTTGTCATAATCTGAGTCTGTCCGAACTAAACTTGTTGGTTTAACCAGGCTCTTAGTTAAAGTAATTCATGACTTCAGTGCTACTTGCTGACCCTTTTCTCAGCTTGAGAAACATTTCTGTTCAGCAGCAAATGTGAAACTCATCGATGCTGTTTGACATGAGCAGCTCCGTGGTCATTCATGAGCTGGACTGTACGTACTGCCTGAGTCATGTTGGGGAGTATTCAGGCAAATATTGAAATAATACGAATTAGTCATGAGGAAGTGCAAGTATGATCTTCATAGCTTATCCCCTGTGGGTGCTATCCTCTAAAAGACTAGAAATAGAAATATCATATGAAGAAGCAATTTCAAATCCCACAGACTTCTTGTGGGGTTTGGATGCAACTCAGCAAACATTTGGTTCTTATGCAAGAGTGGGGCACTTAATATCACACCCATTAACAGAGTATTCTGGGAAGAACATTACTATTGCAGTTTTGGTGGGGAACTTGTGCAATAGACTGATGAAAAGGCAGAAAAGATGCAGGGATAAAAAATACACTGTGCTTCAGCACTTTGGAGCTTTGGGAAGAAGTTCCTGGAGGAATTAGCTAAGGCACCGCTCCCACTCTTGCGGTCCTTGTTACTTCTTGAGCGTTGGCCTGTCCGTGTATGTACTGTCACCATCAGGCAAACACTGTGTTCCCTCTGTGGCATTCCAGGGACACTTTGTTTTGCATGAAACCATGACCTTCTACAATGTGCAAATGTTTGTCCATCAGGTTAAACTGGCAGGATTGCCAAGGCAAGGTATAAAAATATCCTCTTCTTCGATGCCTTCAATGTTAACCAATGTCAGGCTATGCTGTATCCTTCCCATCTGGTGACTATTAAAGGAATTGCTGTACACATAACATGAAAGGATGATAACTTTTCTTTGAGGGATGGAGGCGAAGGGAATGTTTTAAGTATCAGTGCTGCTCCTAATTTTGCCTTCAGGATTGGTGTTAGGTTTAAAACAACCACAAGTGATTCACCAGCAACAACCCTGCAGTTTGGGTATCAGGCGCCTCCTTGCATTAGGAAAATGGGGTATTTTGGAAAAGGAAGACAGAATGGGAGCTGGGCTTCTGTGCTAGGTTTGAACTGCTGGTTAGTGTGAGCTGCTAGTGATGCCAACGCTGCAGGTTCTGGTCTTCACAGAATCATAGAATCTTAAAAGGTTGGAAGGGACCTCTAGAGATCATCTAGTCCAATTTTTCTGCTCAAGCAGGGTCACCTAGAGCATGTGGCACAGGGTGGCATCCAGGCAGGTTTTGAAGACCTCCAGAGAAGGAGACTCCAAAAGCATCCTGGGCAGCCTGTTCCACTGCATGGACCTGTCTTGCATGGACCCATATCTCTTTTGATGTATCCCTCTGTAATCACTTCCAGTTTTAGCCATGCTTGTAAGTGAGTTTAGTCTTTTGACAGTATCTCTAACAGTTAATAAAAGATGGGCCTGAATCGTGATTGGCCTTTAAATCAGTGCCATCCTACTAAGAAAAGCAATAACGACTCTTCCCCTTCCTGTTCTTTCCTAGGTCCCCCAAGGGTTGCTGATAAAGTGATCCACCGGCAGTCCGTGAGGCTGGGCAGGACCATCAAGCTCCTGTGCCCGGTGGAAGGTGACCCGCCACCCCTCACCATGTGGATGAAGGACGGGCGCACTATCCACAGCGGCTGGACCAGGTTCCGGATCCTTCAGCAAGGGCTGAAAATCAAGGAGGTGGAAAGCGAAGACGCGGGGACGTACATCTGCAAAGCCACCAACGGCTTCGGCAGCACCAACGTGAACTACACCCTGATAGTGATTGGTGAGTCCATGGGGATCCTCGCAGCGCTCAGCATCTGCGGATCCGCTTTGCTAATCGTGCGCCGACCTCTGCTCTTAGCTGTCCCGTTCCAGCATTTGAGGGTTGCCAGAGCTGGCCGTGCCGCCGCACGTCTTCTGCAGGCAGATAAGATTGCGGAGTGCCAAAGGTCATGAATAAACAGAAGTGATGCAAGGCTCACCAGGGCATGGTTTGCAGTGAATTCCACACAGGAAAGGCTGGGTGATAAGGGGAGGTCACACTGATCTTTATGTTTGCTGATGGAAGCGGAGAGTTCTCAAAACAAATGTTAAGGCACCCATATAAAAATGCACAGCTGGGGGATCCTTGTGCTGAGCTTTTGCAAAGTGTGGTGTCTCCGGGAATAATAATAGTTAGGTCAAAACAAGGCTCAGAGCTGGCATATGACCCAGAGATGCTCAGTTTCTTAGAAGACCCCTTGGTGGAGGCAGGATTTTTTGAAAATTCAGATGTCATTGTGGAGACATGCACTCTTTGGCTGTGATTTTGACTAATTTCAAAGGGTTTGCTTGGCCTAGAAAGCATGTTGGGGTGAGTGATCCTGCCCCCCCAACCCAGAGAGTCTTCTGATTAATTAGCGAGTCTTTCGTTATTGCTGCTACAGAAGTATCTTCATTGCTTCTTAGCTGGGGGAGCTGGAAGGCAACTGGGTGAAATCTGAGTGGTGGAAAACTTTGAAGAGGCAACAGGAAAGGGTACAAAGTGTGATGAAATCATGTATCTAGTTCACCATACTTCTTAATCAGTTCTGCCAGTACTTGGCCAGGAAATGTCTCCAAGCCTATATCTATGTCTCTGGCGCTCCATAAGGAGACAGGATAACAGAGGAGGAACTCATTGCCTGGCAAGTCCTTCAAAAACAGGCATCTTCTGAGCTGTGTCTTGCGGAGGTGCTTGTAGTCATACAGTGCCCAGACCCAGCTGCCTACAGTGGAGCTGTGGGCAGGGCTGGCCAGTTAAATACAGGAACACAGAGGCCAGCACACATGCTGGGAGAAGGTTGAATGGACAAATTTGGCCAAGATTGGATTTGGTCATAAGGAGACCAGGAATGCCGAGGGCATCTGGAACGCCACAGCTGAGATAAGTGGGAACATTGAGAATTCTGAAAAATTAGTCTCTGATTTCTTAAGAAAATGGAGTTTCCTAATTGAGGCAAACCCTGGTGATGTGCTTTAACCACCTGAAGTTTTCCCTCAAATGAAGAGTCTGAATGCAATATGCACATTTTTATTTTCCATCACAAGACTTACCTCTTGGAAGCAGAGTAATTCCTTAACAGCTGTAAAGCCCTATCTGAGGGGTGGTGGGACAGGTATGGACCCATATAGTTTTCTGAAGAATCAAGTCCTTTTTGGTGTATGCCTTGGCCTGTGTCCACCCTAGTGAAGTGTGCGTGTCTGAGAATATTGCTGGGTGCCTGTTGGCCCTGAACGGCTCACATTTATGCCAGCAAATTTATGTAGCCTCTAGAGACAATGTCTGTGAGCAAACTGTCTGCTGTGAGTGACCCTGGCATGTTCTGACTGCTAAAGCACGCTCGGGAAAGTGCTGATGACCAAAATTATAAAGGAGGACTTATACAAGCTGCCCGGTCTGACGGCAGCTTCAGCAAACGTGTCCAGACAAAGCACTGATGCTGAAAGGCTTGTCAGTGACACGGAGGGGTGCAAGCAGGGGTTTCCCTGTGGGTAGAGCTTCAGGATGAAGCACTGGACAGTGCTCAGTGAGGGAGTGAGGAGGCAGAGGCCTTCTCGAGGTCAGGGAGCAGTGCATTGCAGAGAGATGGATTTGCCTCCTTTGACACAGGGGAAGCAAAGGGACAGGTAAAAGTAATGGCAGATTTAGGGCCAGTATATGGCTGTCTGCAGCTTAGCACTTGCCTGATTTTTTGCTCTTTCTTCCCCTCCACAGTAGGACTGCTGTGGGTTTGGAGAATGTAGGAAGCACTTGGCAATGCTTGATAACAGGGTAATTCTAGGAGAAGGCACTTCTGTAATGACTGCACTTTGCTGCAGAGCCATTACAGAAGCCAGACCAGAGCACAAATGTCTTATCAGGAAAGAGATGCTTAGGTGAGGGAAACGCTCTTGCTTTAAGTCTCATGTAGCATCAGTAGGATGATGTGTGAAAATTGGCATACAGCTTAGGTGGAGTTTGTGGCTTTGGTTTTCCTTGTTCATCTTCTTCCTATCCATGTTCATTCTCTTCTTCACAACTCACTGCAGAAAGGGTAAAGTGGATATAGTCTATAAAGGTGGACGAAGCCCCTTTTGGAGGTGCCTTGGTCCCTCCCTTGCAGAAGGCAATGTTACAGGAGCTTGCTTCAGTCCTGCTTCTGCTTCTCCAGTAAGTGGACGTCACTGAACTCTTTAATCTTCTGTGTCCTCTTCCAGTGCCCTCTGTAAGACTCAGGACCCAAGGGCTCCACATTTCTCCAAGGGACAGAGACACCTTGGCATCCGTGAGTGACAGGAGGCCCCGACTTTTCTTGATAGCACAGCAAAAATAAACAAGAGAGAAAAGGCAGGGAACAGCAGATAAAAGCTGGGCTAGCATTCAGGAAGGACTGAGGCAAAAACGCCAATTCAGTTGCTCAGGGAAATTGGATTATCAGGTTAAATTGTGTCAAGAACAATAGCGTTCATTATATTTGGCACGGGAAAGCCCTGGGCACAAACAGGAGGTATTTGGAGCCTCCTCAGGCAGCCGTGGAAGGAAATGGCAAAACTCCCACCAACCTCTGTGGGTGTGAGATTGAGCCCTGTGCAAACAAATATCGATTACCTCATGCCAAGAAAAAGGCAGCTTTACACTACACGTGTGACAGACATATGGGCTCAGTGATCAGTCATCTCCATGCGTCTCTATTCTAATGCTGACTAAATACAGCATTTCTTAGCTTCTGTTCACCTCCCTCCTTTCTCATGCAGTGTCCCTATGTGGTGGTGCTGCTGCTCAGCCCATTTTTGATGGATTACCATTTATACCTCATCTCCAGAGATGTATTTTCCTGTAATGTATCAAATCAAATTTCCCCTGAAATCAAATGGCCCCCTTGGGTCTTTCTTGCCAAAATCTGCAAGTAAACACATGAGTATCACTGACTTATTCTTTCAAAGGATTCAAACCTTTTTAATGCTTTGTCCAGATGCTCACGTTCATCCTGGTGAAGACACTTTTGGTTGAGAAAGGGCCTTTGCTGGTTTTTGAGAAGGAGGCAGTGTTTCAAATTCAACCGCATGTCCTTTTCAGGGATGAAGATCAAATTAATGGAGCTGTTTTGTTTGTGCTCTAAAAAACACAAACTTCATTAGGCAGTTGCCTTTTGAACCATATGGCCTTTTCTCTCTTTGCCCTTCTCCCACTCCTTCAAGGGAGAAGAAGTCCTCTTATTCCAACTTTATTACTGACACCAGACACGCATAAACCACAAGTGTCAGATACTAGCAATGTGGTTAAGATATTAAGTTAGATTGGGACAGAAGAGAGATTTAAAAGCATCCTGTCAAATGATTCATTAATTGACAAGGCTTGAGAAAATAAAATCCATTTGGCATGAAAAGGTACTGGGAGTTGGAGCAGTAGTTTCTGGAATACATTCAATAGTGCTTGCTGAAAGATTTTGGACTTTTACTTGTTTATTTTAAATCTTATTAATTAGTCTTCACTAGAACAGATTAGTCTTCATTAGAACATAGAGAAGCAACAAAAGTCTGTACCATTACCCAAGTGTGTGAGAAGAGCCAAAGGAGGTGTCCACATCAGTAGGTACTGGTGGAGGAGGCAGGTGTGTGGCCACCTTGCAGGCTGGTCTCAGGAGGTTTCGTACCTTGGGTCAGACCTTGTTCTCACGTCACTTTGGGACTTTTGTAGCAGATCTTGCTACTGTCTGGAAGAGTCTCCTGTCTGCGTGCACATGTGAGATGGATTGCTGTGGTTTTTACAGAGGGCAACTAAGGCAAAGAGATCATCAAAGGCAAAAATCAAGTCATTGATCTGAAACCACTGAATACATGAGGTGTGGAAGATGAGGTGAGCCTAAACCTCTCAAGTCTGCCCCTGAAAGACTATTTCTCCTTCATGGTGCTTGAGAAAGTCTTTTCTTCCTAGTTCAGCATCCTCCTGCCACTGTGTTGGAAGGGAACCTTCTCCTCTTATGCTGGGGTTTTGATCTCAAACAAAGGTTCTGCCAAACCAGATGGTAGCAATTGGTTTCTGCCCTGCTTATTTCCCCATCCTCTCCAACAGCAGGCCCTGGATCCCAAAGATCCAAGGAAGCCTGCTGTAATATATCCCTGCATGAAATGTAAGCCAGTAAAAGCAGATAACCAATATAAGTCAAAACTACAATTTCCTCTCCTAGCCAGCCGTAATAGTTTTTGTGGCTTACCACAAGATTTGGGATGCCAATTACACTGCAGACAGATTTAAAAATGCTGGAAGAGGAACTCGTCTTTAATCAGTATTAAATCAGCATTGCAGTTATTAAGTACAATGGATCCTTATTGTGGAGAATTATCTGTAGCCCATCAAAACAAATGTGCTGTACCTCCCTTGCAAGTTATTTGTATAATGATGCCCATGAAAGTCTTATCTTTGATTGTCCACCAAAGATTTTTTCAAGCTGAATCAATTCAGGGGAGTTGGTTTGCAGTCTACAGGTATGAATAGTAACTTTGTTTTGGTTTTAAATGCTTGGTTGAAACCTGCGGTTTCTTTTACTGCAGAATAACACTCCTTTGCCAGGGTGCCATAAAAGAAGGCCTAAGGCCAAAGAGGAAGAAACAAAATATTGAATAACTGCTCATTATATGAAGGCTGTCCACCTCATGTGTTGAGTGAGGTGGGTGCTATGGAAAAAAATAGCACGTGACCATGTAATTAAAGACTGTGCCAGAGTGCATGTGGCCAGCTCAGAGAAACTGTGAGTTTGCACACAGTGCAATGGTAGTTCTTAC